AACAAGCTTCATGTCCATGTACTTTCAACATCAAGTCCTTGAATGTTCAACAAAATACGACAACTTATATTCTAAACAAAGTACCAACTAAAGCAGCTACCAAAACACCTTATGAGCTTTGGATTGAGCGACAACTTAGTCTGAAGCATTTCCATGTGTGGGATTGTCCAGCTGAGGCAAGACCTTATAAGGCAAATGAAAAGAAATTGGACTCCCGAAAAGTAAGTAGTTATTTTATTGGTTATGCTGAAAGATCCAGATGATATAAATTTTATGATCCCACATTAAAGATAATTTTTGAGACGGGAATTGCTACGTTCTTTGAGGATATTGAGTTTGGGGGGAAGAATAAGATTAAGAACTTCATCTTGGAGGAAGAATCGGTAATAATTTCAGAACTGATTCAAATAGTTACTTTTGATAAAGTAAGTTCGGAACATCCACAAGGCATTGTTGATGAACCTCTTACTCAATATGATTTGGTTGTTCATGAAGAACAAACTCAAGATCCTCAAGAACCTGTGCATCATGAGCTAATAACTTTGCAGAGATTCACTAGAGAAAGAAGAAGAGCTATTTCGGATGATTATATGGTATTTCTTCAGGAACATGAGGAAAATAATGATATAATTGAAGATGACCCAGTTAACTTCCGTTAAGCTATACAAGGTTCTAACTCTCAAAAGTGGATTGAAGCAATAGGATAAATATAAGTCCATGCAAGACAATAAGGTTTGGGAACTTGTCCCATTACCAGAAGGTATGAAACTCATTTGGCTTCAAGATGAATATTGTTGATGATTGTGTGTATCATAAGTTTAAAGGGAGACAAGTTTAGTCTCAATCAGTGCCCAAAGGGGAATTTGGAAATTGAGAAAATGCAAAAGATTCCCTATGCATCAGCTGTAGGGAGTTTGATCTATGCCCAAGTATGTACGCATCCAGACATAACATATATAAGCAGATATAGCAATCCAGGAATAGACCATTGAAAAGCAGCAAAAAGAGTCATAAGATATTTAAAGAGAACAAAAGATTATATGCTCACATATAGGAGGTCAGACCAGTTGGAGATCGCTGGGTTTTTTGACTCAGATTTTGCAGGATGTCAAGAATTTGTAGCATGCTATGAGGCATCAAATCATGGAATATGACTGAGAAATTTTGTCACAGGGCTGCAAATTGTGAAAGGCATTGAAATACCACTTAAGTTATATTGTGACAATAAATCAGTTTTATTGTTAAGGAAAGAGTACAAAGTGTACATATTTTCATAGAACACTTAAGGACAAACTCCATGATAGCATATCCTCTAACTAAAGGACTTCTGCCCAAGGTCTTTCATGAGCATTTTGCTCACATGGGTGTTTTACAGTTTGAGGAATTTGTGGTTTAGTGGGAGTTAGTCACTTTCATATATTTTATGTTCTATGTTTAATTTCATATATGTATACATTGTTTTTTTTGGACATATTTGGTTATCTATAGATATGCGGTTTTTTTGTTCATTCATTACACTTTGTACATTAAGGATATTATATCGATCTCGATAAGTTAAAGTTTGGACCAGTTGAAAATAGACGTGTACATATCACCTTTACGTAATTTTTCATGCTACACATTTCATGATGAATCCATGTCATTTGGTTATGTTAGGATGAGTAATCATTGTTGGTTTTAATTGCGATGATGCAATGAAAAGCTGGTTTGGTTCTATATCCTGATATTATTAATGGACAGGACTTTTGGAGTATACTAAAGGAATATAACGACAATTTTGAGCTCATAAAGTCTAACACATTTGTAAGGTTGTAAGGACATATATATTTGTGACTAGTGGGAGATTGTTGGCAAAATTTGGGTCATGTATATATATGATACATAATTTAAATGTGTTAGGGTCATTATTTATTAAACCAAATAATAAAGTGATCTGACTAAATTAAAGTTTTGGCTAAATGCATATGTCATGAAAATAAAATTGTGTAGAGACCATAGAGCAATTTCTAATTTGATAAGAGGTCAAATTGGAAATACTAAAACTTAAGTAATTAACCTAATTCTGGTTATCTAAAGGGTCATTATCCCCTTCTTGGAGCACGTACACAGAACATAAGTATCAGTCTCGTTCCTTTCTTTCTATCCCCATCAAGAGAGAAAATCAAGAGGGAAATACAGGTGCTCTTCAGGTGGAAGACCATAAGATCAATATAGTGCTCTACAAAGACATCATCTTTATAGCTAATTCAGGTACGCTTTCGCATTCAGTTTACAACATGTTTATCAGTATGAATTACGTTTATATTTGATAGTTAGAATCAAAATCAGGAATATTATTATTATTATTATTATTATTATTATTATTATTAATTTTCCAACACATGACTTATATTTTTAGCAACTATCGAAGGCTAATTCATTTGAAGCACAGAAATTACAAAACCAGAAGTTGGATATTTGAACAAAGTCTTTTTCCAAATACTACCTGTTAAGGTTCCAACATAAAACCAATTGGCAATATGTGGAGTAGCCTAACATGTATTTAAACCATACCAAATGATATGAGGTAGGCGATGTGGGACTTTCAACACACCCCCTCCAACGAAGCCTGCCGGACCAGGCAAAGGGTACTTTTGACCCAACTAAAGGGCAACTTTTGGCCCATGACAATAACCGGAAAGATGTTAGGCTTTGGCTCTGATACCATGTTAAGGTTCCAACATAAAACCAATTGGCAATATGTGGAGTAGCCTAACATGTATTTAAACCATACCAAATGATATGAGGTAGGCGATGTAGGACTTTCAACACTACCTATCAAATCGTGATCAACAAGCTCGAAGTCCTAGTTGTTTGGCATGCTTGATATATGAGTAAATAATTCTAACCTATCCCATGTTTCATAGACCACCAATGCATAACTTTGTCTTTTTCCATTCCTACGTAAAGAAAGTAGATAACGACTGAATTGGTTGGTCAACATATAATAAACAAAACGTTCAAAGGGAAGGGTAATAATAGTAACTGGGAGAAACTATTTTGTATTTGAAATGTGAAACTTTGAAAGGAAAACAATGCACATATGATGACGATCTCCTAGACAACATCATTGCAAGACCTGATAAAGTTAAGGTTGCTGTAATTAATTAATTTAGTAACTGTGTTTGTAATGGAAAATGAAACCCAGAATACTGAATCATTCATCCTCCATTATGCAAACGTAATGGGTAATATTTAATTCCTTAATGACTCATGCATGACCCTCCCTTCTCTAGTCATGAGTGATATCATACCTCTCGAAGCTAAAGTAGCAAATATTATATCTATTCATTTTCATTGACTATGTAATCTAAACCCACCTTCCTGCCAACTATATACATCCATCATTTCATATTATAATAATAATAAACATACAAATTTAAAATTTTATTATTATTATTATTATTATTATTATTATTATTATTATTATTATTATTATTATTATTATTATTTCGGTAGGTTTGCTTAGTGTCATTTTACTTAAAAATCGAGATAAAAAATAATTTAAATATATTATTATTTCTTAATTGGCCCAATTAATCAAAATATCTCTTTAAAAACAAAATCATAATAAAGGTAATAATAATACTTAAATATTTTGTTTTTAGAAATAATAATAATAATAATTATTATTATTATTATTATTATTATATTATTATCGAACGAGTTGAGAGAATTGTTTTTATACGGGTGTTATTATATTATTGTTCACAGATCATAATGTTCGGGTGTTATATAACAAATAAGTATAGAAAATTAGAATATATATTTTAATTTAAAATTAGATGAAAATTAAAAAAGTTATCTAATAGATATATAAGTTATATTCCGAAAATTAAAACAAATAATATGAAATTCGAATAATTTCAAATTTTAATTTAGAATAAATCAAGGACCCACATTTTCGGTCTTAATTTTCTAGATATAATTTATATATAATTTAAAACAAAATTTGCCGTGAAATAAGAACTATTTTAGTTCTAAATTAAAGTTTGATTATATATATATATATATATATTTTTTTTTTCTTTTTGAATTTAATATACATTTATTTTTTATACCTTCAACCCTTTGTCACTTGAAAAACATTCAGATTTGTTTGAAAATATGGCTGGCATCACTCATTTATCTGAAAATCATCTATTTAACATAAAAATTGGCAACAGTTTAGATCTACAGCTTTTCACATTACACTGCTCTCAGAAAGATTAATATATTTCATGCATTGAAATGGTCTTTAGAGAGACACGACAAAAGGTGTTGAAAATTATTAATGGACTCATCACAACAAGTGGGAGTTTAAGAACATATCACGCGGGTCACGGAATAGAAAATGTAACATAGATCGATGGAGAGTAGTTGCACGTATAAATTAATCTCCCAAAGCTTTTGTAATGAAACAAGTTCAGACACATTAGCAGAGCGATTCAGGAAGAGAGTTTCGTCCATATCTGATTCTACCATTTTGAAAGAACGTGATTTTTTTGAACTCAGAGCCTTGAAACTGAATCTGCCAACACTTTCCATCACAGGTAATTACAAATTGAACATCCCATGTTTCACCTTGGTTAATTTAATTAACTGTCTATGGAAAAATGATTTTTTTGCTGTAACAAGCCATTTTGATTTCCTTTGTCACTGTTAAAATGTCTTAGCGTTGATTAGGAATATGATCATAGTATTCTTTACAAGAAATACAAAATCTTTTAGAGCTACCATCTTATTTTGTAAAATAAGATCAAAGTTTTTGAAATATCATTTACCATGAGATCCTCTTGATAATTTCTCCTGTGACTTTGGTTAAAAACCATGCAAAATAGAATAACTGTTTTTGTTTTCGCAAAAAGAAAAAAAAATATGGAAGTGCTTTGGCACAAGGTTGTGTCAGTAACTAGTAATTTTGTCATAGGTTGACTAGTTGGTCTTTATTGAATTGTTATAGGAAAAAGGGAGTTGTTTCAATGGATTCTTCTGCTGCTGCTACATACACTGCAGTACCTGAAACAGAACCCCAGATTGAACACATAATTTACATTCCTAAAGACATTAAACCTGCATTCCATGAACTGTGCTGCATTTACAAGGTTCCTCCCAATCTCAGAAAGTTGAATGAAGGGGAAGCCTATGAACCGGTTTTGATCTCAATAGGCCCTTTTCACCACAATAAAAAACCAGAACTGGAACCAATGCACATACAGAAGCAAAGGTATTTTCTTGCATTCTGGGAACGTGTGATAAGCAAAAAGGCTTTGGCCAACTACAAAGCCTTCCTCAATGAAAAAATTAAAACCATAGGCCACTGGTATTCAGAGCCAACTAACCTCAGTAAAGATGAGTTTGTGGACCTGATACTGTTAGACTCAGTCTTCATCATGGAGCTCTTTCTGAGAAATTCCAAAAAATCTGAGCAGACAGATGATTACATGTTCACCACATCATGGATTTACAAGAGCATCCAGAGAGACCTCTTACTACTTGAAAACCAACTTCCTATTTTTGTCTTGGAAGAGTTATACAGAAGGGTTGACAAGCTAAGTGATCTCAGCTTTCTTGAGCTTGCATTTAACTACTTTGAAGATTACTATCCACTTAAGTCAACACTTGATCAAAATCAAGACATTGTCAAGAACTTCAAATCTTGCAACCACTTCACTGACTTGGTAAGAAGTTTCTACCTTCCAGGAAAGGTTTACGACAAGGACTGGATGCCATCAAAGTATTTCACCCCCTGTGCTAAAAACGAATGTGTCCTTAAGACTGCAACAAAGTTGAATGAAGCAGGAGTTAGCTTTGAGAAAGGGAACGACAGAAGTTTGTTAGACGTAAAATTCAAGAAGATTCGAGTTTTGAGCTGGTTTCTTTGCCTAGGTTGCATACCATGTTTCACATGTGTGAAAGCACGTTTCCAAATCCCTCAACTAAAAGTGCTCCAAACAACAGAATGTGTTCTAAGGAACCTCATTGCCTTGGAGCAGTGCCACTACTCAGACCAACCTTTCATATGCAACTATGTTTATCTGATTGACTCTCTGATCCACACTGAAGATGATGTGGAGTTGTTGGTGGACAAAGAGATCATTGTCCATGAACTTGGCTGCCACAAGGAATTGGCAACCATGATAAATGATATTTGCAAGCACGTGGTGGTGAACTGCAACTACTATGGCAAAACCTCAAAGAAACTCAATGATCACTACAATTGTTGGTGGAAGCATTATATGGGTATGTTAAGGTCAGTGTATTTCCGTGACCCTTGGAGACTAAGCTCAACTGTTGTAGGAGTCGTTATCTTCTTATTTGCTATTGTCAACTTCCTTCGTATTACTGGTTTGTATCATGCAAAATAATGAACTGTTTTTGTTGTTGTAACTTTCTTTTCATAAAATATATTAACTTAATAAACACTGAAAATATATCTACATAGAGTGAAAGATAATTCATACTCCTTATTTTACTTCTTCCAATACAAGTTTGATCAAGCTAGAAAAAAAGTATATGAGAAAAAGACAACTTCAATATTTTTTCATTTACCATTGACCTAAGAAGTAAGGTCAAGTTTATAAGCAGCCAAAGGAATTTGTTTGTTTCTTTTTCTATTATTAATTCATTTCATTTTTTTATTGCTGCCATCAGTAGGTAGGTAGGCACTAGTTGATGTCACAACCTCTCTAACGTGTAAATATTTTAATATCTATTTGCAGGAAAATATGACCAAGAAATTGCTAGAATCTAATTGCTAATTTTTTATTGAATCTGCATATAATTTAGGAAATAAATATGATTAAAATATTTCACTAAAATCATCATAGGATTTTTTTTCAATCTCTTCGTGCAAAGGAGCCAGCTAGCAATATATACTTATTTTTTATAAAATAAATAAATAATTTTTTATTTATGTTTTGTCTAATATGTTTATTTTAAAAATAAGTATTTCTTTTTATATTTCTAGGAAGGAAAAATTATGTATTTTTTAAATAATTAGATTTTCCAAAATACTTGTGTTAATAAATTTAAAAGAATCAATGTGTGTGCAACTTCTTTCTTCCCTCCAATTTCTCTTTAAGTTGTTTATCGCTTGTCGTTAGTGTGGCAGAAAAAATGTGTACATTTAATAAGAAATTATAATAATTTTGAGACAAAATATTTATTTATTATTTTTTAGGTGAAATGTTTTAAATATATATAATATTATATTACATAATATTAAATTAAAGTTTATAAATCTCTTATAAATTCTCATTTAAAAAAAATGAATTTATTAGAAAAATGAGAGATATTTTGTTTCACTTCAATACACAAAATCATGTAAAATCTTATAATTATTCTTAAGGTTGCATTCATCATCAGTTACATATATTTTGTATAATAAAAGAAACATAAAAAAAGAGAATAATCATATTTAATTAAATTTTTATTAAAAAAAATTAGTCCATAAATCTTCTATAAATATTCCACCTAATCAAAATCTTAAATAATTGTAATTAATTAAAAGTATAAAGATTACAATCTGCATATTATAAAAAACATAATTTTACCCTAATATCCATAATATAAAAGTAATTACAATATATTTATATAAGTACATAATTTAAAATATTTTGTAGCATTATACAAATAATAATAACACAATTGAGGTACCAACTTTAAAAAGAATAGTAGTTTCTTGCTGATATGTTTTGTTAGGGTCAAAGAGAAAAGAAAGACTACAATCTGATATTGGCTTAATGAAAAAAAAAAAAAAAACCATTGATATTGTAGTGATAGGATCAAGATGAAAAAAAATTAACATTATAGGATAGATTAAATAATATATTATTTATAAATAATAAATAAATAAATATAAAAAAATAAATCATATAGAAATTTATAAATATATAAACATATATTTCGTCACTAAAAAAATAAGATTATTATACTATTTTATTATTTTAAATAATGTAAATCCAATAAATATAGTGATAAAAAGGAAATTAAAAACACACAAAAAATAAATGCAAAAACAATATATAACATGGAAAAACTCCAACATATTTTTACATATTATAGTATTATTAATTATCAACAGAGTCGTGAAAGAAAGAAACACTACCCAAACCTTTGAAAATGGAGACAAAATTGACAGGACATTCTTTTTCTCTAGAAGGGTCTATCTCAATTCTTTTTTTTAAGTACAATTTAACTTTTGATTTGAATAATTGATTATTAGATGATACGAAGGGTTCGGTATGATGGGTTTGTAGGTTAAGTTCTTTATAATTTTTATTTATAAGTGTTTAAAAAAAATATTTATATGTTAAAAGTAAAATAAAAAATTATAAGTAAAAAATATTTATATTCTAATTTAAATTATAAATATTAATTAACTAATATAATTAAAATTATATTTAGAGAATTATGTTTTTCTATAATTATTTCAAATTAGAATCCTATTTTTCTTTTCAATAAAATTAGTTTGATTTAATTTGAAAATTCAAAACTGATATTTGTAAGTAAATTCAGATGTAAGCACGGGAATAACGTCGGTAAAATTATTGATTATTTTAACAAACAAACATATTTAATAATAAGTGTGATTTGTAATTAATATTTATTTACTTATTTCATTTTTTGTAATTGAGCAAATTTTATGTTTTAGTTTTTATATTTAAAAACATCATTTTTAGTTTTTATAAATATTTATTTTTAATGTTGAATCTTACGAAGTTAATTAGAAAGAACTACAACGATTAAAAATAATGTATATAGGAATTACAAATATTTAAACGGTATACATAATGACTAAAATGAATGATTTATTTTAAAGAAAAAATAATGAATTTTAAGTGAAGGAAATAAAAGTAAAATTTATACAAATTAAATGAAAAATTAAACATGTAGTCTGAACTAATGTTTTTAATTTAATTATAATATTTTTTTTGGTGTTACTAAATACAGGGTTTCTGTTTAATATGCAATTAAATTAAATTCATTATGTCAGTCTATTTTAAAAAAGTGATATCTAAAGTCTTAATTTCAGGTTTAAGGTGGGACCAAACTCCATAACATTAATAATAACAATTAAATATTATAATTAAGTAGTATTAATCTAAATTACTATAATTAAGTATTCCCATCATGGAAGAATTCCTACCCTACAGAAAACAAATTCACTTGCATAAGGGCATAACAGACAAAAACAGCATCACTACACACATACCAAGGTAACACAGTCTGAAATTTACAGGAAGGTGTATTTCTAACTTTTAGACCTTGCTAGCTGTAACACATCAGTGAAACACTTTCTATTCTAGGTGGCCAGAACCACCCAGGTTTGTCTTTTATCTCTAGGACTCATTTGCCATGGTAAAAGATTTTTGTTTGGCATGCTTGTTTTGATTCCTCAAATGTGAAAAAGTGTTTGTAAGTGGTGTTACTTCTGTGTAAGTATGTACTCTTTTGTGGTGTCAAGTTCAAATTTCTTGTTACTTTTCTCACCAAGTTACAGTTTTCCATCTTTTCTCATTTCTATGCAGGTCATTTTGAAAACTGAGAGCATCCTAGTAATTTAGACCAACATCAAGGTTATGAAGGTTTCTACAACTACAACCTCAGTTTTCTCTGTTTCTCAGGAAAGAGAAAGTTGTGTTTCAATGACTTCTACTACTAGTTTTTCTGCTTTACCTGATAATAAACCTCAGATACGGCACATAGTGAACATTCCCGAACAGATTGAGTCTGAGGTTCATGATCAATGTTGCATCTACAAGGTTCCTCCCCATCTCCTGAAACTGAATGTGGAAGCCTATACACCATATTTCATCTCAATAGGCCCTCTTCACAATGACAAGCCTGAGCTAAAACAGGATAAACAGAAGCAAAGGTATTTTCATGCCTTCTGGAAACGTCTATCTCACAAGCAGTGTTTAGCTTTGTCACAATATAGAGTCTACCTTGAACAGAACAGAGAAAAGATAGGTAACTCTTACTCCAAGCCAGAACTCCACAAGGATGAAAACTTCATTGACATGATTCTATTAGACTCAGTCTTCATCATGGAGCTGTTTTTGAGAAAAGCAAACAAATCTGAGCAGAATAATGATTTAATGTTCACCACGTCATGGATTTGCAAGATGACTCAACGTGACTTGTCACTGCTTGAAAATCAGCTTCCCATGTTTGTGTTGGAGGAATTGCACACAAGGGTCATCCTTGGAGATAACGGCACCAAGGAAAACTGTCTCATGTTCATTGAGCTTGCCTTTAACTACTTTGAAGACTATTATCCACACAAGTCAAGTCAAAAGGTGGAGATGATCAACAATTTTAAATCTTGCGTAAACTTCACTGATTTGATCAGATACACCTACCTGCCTAGACAGATCCAGGCTAATGTGAATCCATCACAACAGTTCACCCCTTGTGCTGTGGAATGTGTTCTGAGGACTGCAACAAAGTTGAATGAGGCTGGTATAAGCTTTGAGAAAGTTCAAGGTAGGAGCTATTTGGACATAAAGTTTGAGAAATCTCGTATCCTCAGTTGGTTCTTGTGTTTTGGTTGCTTACCATTCTCCAGATGTTTCAAATCTCGTTTGCAAATACCCCATTTGAAAGTAGACCAAGTGACAGAATGTGTTCTAAGGAACCTCATTGCCTTGGAGCAGTGCCACTATTCAGATCAACCTTTCATATGCAACTATGTGACTCTAATTGACTCTTTAATTCACACTCAAGATGATGTGGAGCTTTTGGTGGACAAAGAAATCATTGTGCATGAACTTGGCAGCCACAATGAGTTGGCAACTATGATAAATGGTCTTTGCAGGCATGTTGTGGTGTCTTCAAATTATTATGGCAAAATCACAAGGGAACTCAATGAACACTACAACTGCTGTTGGAAACACTACATGGGTGTGCTTAGATCTGTGTACTTCCGTGACCCTTGGAGATTCAGTTCAACTATAGTGGGAATTGCTGTGTTCTTGTTCACTGTTGTAAACTTTCTAAGGGTTATTGGTGTGTTTCAACCAAAATATTAACACTAATATTATGTGATCTTAAAATTTTGCCACGCAAATGCTAAGTTTGAAAGGTTTGCTTACTTTTATCACTAGCAATGAAGTGTGCCAAATTATGAGATTAATTTCTTTTTCCACCAATAATCCGATTAGATTTCTGCAGTTTATCATTAATTCCATGATTTTCTTTTGTAAACATTAACAAAATCTGACCCTTGAATCTCATATATCCTCATTGTGTTGAATAAGCTGAAAAAGACACGAACAAGATTCATATAATTATTTCCCTTATAGACTTATACAAACTTAATAGACTTATTTGTGGTGTATGAAACAAGTTTCTTAGATATAACAGGACCTTCTAAAAAACTAATAAGAGTAAATAAACTTTCCTTAGAATATAATAGGAAATTCTCCCAATTTCTAAGAAACTATTAATTAAAAACCTAGTAAATAATTTTTAAAAGAGTGAATAAATCCAAAATAAAAGGGAATGTAAAAGGAGAGAAGTGAGGATGAGTGAAATGTGTTCTATGATTTTGAAAGGGGAGTAAATACATCTATTTATACATGTACATACTCTTAAAATCCTAATAGATAAAGTCAATTATCTATCAACATTCATGTCTCTCCAACACCTACGAAAGTGTCATAATGCAATGGTTAGAGTCCACGTTAATCAATTTATGTGCAATGTGCCATTCGCGGATCTTAGGGTTTTTCTTTTTGTAATACTCACGTCTCATAACACAATGTCCCTACTAATTCAGAATCTTTCGGTCTTGTATCTGTTATAATAATATCGTTAGGGTTAGTTTTCATGTTCGTCTCATGTCCCTATGATAACATCGTTAAGATCAATTCTCATGCTCGAGATATTGATTGTTTTGGAGCTCTCGTTATCACGCTTTTGTCTTTAAAAAATGTTTTGGTGGGTTAAGGGAGGAAAGCATATATAAACTATCATTGACCTTAATTACGTGATGTAGGATTCAAGAGTGTACCGAACATAATCACTTCGAGGACTAAGAGATATTTATGGATGGAGCGAAACTCTTCTCTCGATCACACGATGAGATCAATGTTTCGTTTAGAAATGAGAGTGTCCTGACCTTATGTCTGTTATAATAATATTGTTAGGATCAATTTCAATATTCGAGATATTATCCGCTTTAAAACTTTTGTCCGTTACGATTTTATTCTTAAAAAATATATGGGTAGATTAAGAGAGAAAAATATATATAAATTATCTTTGACATTGACTCCTAAACGATAAAAATTCATAATAGTACCAAAGAAAGATAAACTTAATACCCATATAATTTACTCAAATTCCTACCACTTGGTTGATTTTATAGAAATAAGAACTTTGGCCAAATAAAAAGGTTAGACACATAGTCTTAACATGTGCTTATTATGTGAGATTCGCAAATGTGGATAACATCAAGCAAATGGAAAGAAATCTAGACGGTATTTGGATCGGTTCTACAAAGATGCATGTCAACATACCAAAATACAGGAGACATGAACAACAACTGTTTCAGGCGAATTAAGAACCAACAGTTAAGCAGGAATGGAGGAGGAAAGGTGGTCAACGGTCTTTTGCAAACGTGGTGAAAGGGAAAGAGGAAATTACAACGACCGATGAAATGTGGAGGGGAAGAATTTTGAAGGTGGAAGAGAATGTGCAGAAATGGATGGAAGACAGCTTCATAGTGGAAGCGACAAGAGGCATAAGAAAGTCAGAAATCGAAAGCAACCTGTATCTAAAAGGATTATTCAATGTCTACGTCAAGGGAATGTGAGACAACTTTTTTCTCCTCAGTGGAAACTCGGTAGAGGAATTAACATGAATCATGGAAGAAAACTCTGCGTGTTTCTATAAGCTCTTCACTTCTATAATCAGATGGGACAAAAATTTGGTGAGCGGGCACAAACAGGTGTGGGCTAGATGTAGGGGTATCCCGATAGCTCTATGGTCCGAAAAAACCTTCGAGGATGTTGTGTCTGTGCTGGGAACGTTGTTAGAGGTGGATGAGAAAACCTTAAAGTGGACACTCTTGGATTATGCAAGGCTAAAAATCAGACTTCCAATTTCATCCCAAGCTACCATGGCTCAGAGTATTAAAATTAATGGACGAGTGTTCAGGTATCGTTAGAGGAAGAATGGATGGAAGAGGGGTTTAAGTGTGCTGTGTGCGAAGGTATTAATGATGAGAGGAGGAAGAGTCAGAGGAGGCGATGGAGTTCGTATCATCAAATTCGGAATATTTTGCGGATGAAGACAAGATTGGTAAGCGAACTTCTCTAGCCTTGGATGGTCAAAAATCCGGTGGAGGTAGCTCAGATCCAAGCGAGCCGATAAAACTCAACGGTAAGAAATCAAGTGTGGATCAATGCTCAGAGGTAGGTGTGTCAAAAAGAGTCAGCAAAAGCAGATACGCTGAGGAAGAAGATTTGGGAGCAGACGTAAGCGGGGTCGCTGATCGAACAAACTAGCAGTTTAGACTTGGCTAGATGTGAACAGTTCGAAAAAAGGCCTGAGGCATTGCGAAACCTCGCGAAGGACCAAAATCGGGAGGTCTTTTCGCTAGGCAAGGGTGGCTTGGTTCCCCTGCTTGGTGTCTCATCTGTATCCGTCATCAATCGTGTGCCGGAGGAGCAAGGGTTGAATCAAGCAGATGCTAGCTTCGTCGCAGAGGGAAGGGAGTGAAATCACGATGGCAAATAGAAGCAAAGGGAAACGACAATCGGAATTTAAATCAAGGCTAGCTCTCAGTCTCATTGCTCAAAATTCGAAGCAAGACGTTACGACCAAGAGACGATTAGTAACTCAACCGTCAAGGACGCTAAGGAGACGCTGGGAAACCAGGGCATCGAAGGAAAGAGATTGGGCACAAAACGTCTATCAACTTATGTAGAAGGAACTGTTTGTAAGCCAGCGGATTGCGAAATGGTGGAACCAAATCAAGTAGTGGCTCGGAAAGGCATCGGGTTACAAAAGGAAGCCTTGATGATTAATGGAGGAGGGGAAACAAGCAACGACAACCGATCCAGTCCAGGTGTTTCAGCCAAAATTCTGCGCAAGGAGAAGAGGTTAGATTTCTTTTCTAGTAACTCCATAAATGACAGTAATATAGTAAACTGCAATAGGTTGTTCTGGTTAAATAAAGAGTATTAGGAGGCAGTTAGATTATGGGAGATAGGGAGAGAGTTGGGGTTCTCGTACGAAGGGGATAACAACTTGATGGTAATGAAACTGAAGGAGATAGATGAAGAGGGGAGAGACAGTGACACATGAGGATATTAAGCTTAAATGTCAGAGGTATTAGGAGCCCTGGGAAAATCAAATATATTAGGGAAGTAATAAATAAGGAAGGGGTAGAAATGGTGTGTATACAAGAGACGAAACTAGCTAGACAGGATGAGAGTGTATGTTATAAAATATGGAACCATAATAATATTCAATGGGCTTTCAAACAGGCAGAAAATGGGTCAGGAGGGATTTTAAGCACCTGGGATACGAATAAGTTCGAGTGCATAAACATGATTATAGGAGAAGGATTAATAGCAGTAGCGGTATCTATAAGAAAAAGAATATAAAACTGGTAGTGGTAAATGTTTACTCCTCTTGCGTAGTGAAGGAAAAATACAAGTTGTGGAAAGACATACATATGGGTGTCCAAAATCTGTCGTGTAAGGTGTTTTGTGTAATAGGAGATTTCAACACCGTCAAATTACTTGAAGAGAGAAAAGGAAGTAGTATAAGAGGCAGAGTAACGGAAGAAATGCGAAGATTTAATGATTTTATCCAGAACCTAGAGGCTCGGGAACTACTAGCTATTGGAAGAAAATTCACATGGTATAGAACAGATGGATCTTCAATGAGTAGGCTAGATAGAACCCTGGTATCTATGGAGTGGATCCATGAATGGAAGGGAGCAAACAGTACGTAATGGATAGAAACATCTCAGATCATTGTGCGCTAGTAATAAAAGAAAATAATATAGATTGGGGACCCAAGCCCTTTAGATCTTTGGATGTATGGCAAGAAGAAAAGAGGTTTAGGGAGGAGGTAAAAGGGGCTTGGGAAGGAATGGAATTCATAGGCTGGGGAATTAAAATTTGGGCCAAGAAGCTTCAAATGCTTAAAAATCATTTGAAAAGATGGAATAGAGAATCATTTGGGGACTTGAATTTGGAAAAACAAAGCTTGATAAACAAGATAAGTGAGTTGGACCATAAAGATGAAATAGACCAGTTCGATGAAGAAGGTAAGAAGGAAAGATGGTTATACCAAATAGAATTGAGAAAAATAATGTTGAAGAGTGCATCTATGGAGAAACAGAAGATAAGAGACAAGTGGATAAAGGAAGGGGATATAAACTCAAAATATTTCCATTCTTTGATTAGTTGGAAAAGAAGCAACGTGGAACTACCAAGGATGATTATTAGAGGGGCTTGGTGTTAGGACCCATTAAGAGTAAAAGATGAGGTTATGGAACATTTTAAAAGAAGATTCAACCGAGAAACAAGTTTGGGAGTCAAATTAGAAGGGATCTCGTTTGAAGGAATAACAGATGTACAAAATGAGGCTCTGGTTAGAGAAATATCAGAGGAAGAGATAAGGGAGACAGTTTGGAGTTGTGAAGGCAGTAAAATTCCTGGACCTGATGGTTTTAATTTCTGCTTTATAAAACATAACTGGTCTACACTGAAGGTGGACATACTAAAAGCTATTGAAGAATTTCAGAGGGAGGGTAATATTCCAAAAGGATGTAATGTCTCGTTCATTGCACTAATTCCAAAAGTAGAAATCCTTGTGGACTTGGATGAATATAGACCAATATCTCTAATAGGCAGCCTGTATAAGATACTAGCAAAGGTGTTAGCAGGTCGATTAAAAGGCGTGCTAAATAAGGTAATTAGTGCTTCCCAGTCCGCTTTCCTAGAAGGAAGGGGTCTCTTGGATAGCGTTGTGGTAGCAAACAAAGTCATACATGAGTACAAGACCAAAAGGA